GGGAAGGTCGGCGATGGGTCTGCGTTCCGTGTCTGGGGATCTCGGGCGTTTGTCCGCGACTTGTCTGCGGACAAGCTGTCCCACCGTGCTGCTCCCTGTGTCTTCCTTGGCTTCCCCCCTGATGCTCCAGGGTGGCAGTTCTACCACCCCTCCTCTCGTCGTGTTTTGTCCTCCCAGGACGTCACGTTCGACGAGTCAGTCCCCTTCTACCGTCTCTTCCCTTACCGCACGCCTTCCCTCCCCCCACCGCCGCACTTCCTGGTACCAGGTCCCCCCCCGGTAGACCCCCTTCCCCCTCAGGGTCCTGCCCCTTGAGGTGTGTCCCAGGTTGACGCAGTCAAGCTGGTCGAGGTTGCTGGTGACTCTGGTACTGCTGCGGGTGCTGAGCCTGGGGGTGCTGACTCTGGGGGTGCCGTGCGCGTGGGTGCTGAGCCTGGGGGTGCTGAGTCTGGGGGTGCTGCGACTGAGGGTGCTGAGGCTGGGGTTGCTGAGCCTGGGGGTGCTGAGCCTGAGGTTGCTGAGTCTGGGGGTGCTACGTAAGGAGCTGCTGAGCCTGGAGGTGCTGCGTCTGGAGATGCTGAGCCTGGAGGTGCTGCGTCTGGGGCTGCTGAGCCTGGAGGTGCGGAGCCTGCCGCCGCTGGACCTCCCCCTATGGCGTCTGGAGGTGCTGGACCTGGAGGTTCTCCGGGTGCTCCGTCTCGGAGGGAGCCACTCTCTCCACAGGAGCTGCGCGAGTGGTTTGCTAGCCGCTGGAGGCGTACTGCTGGAGCTGGGGCTTCTTCTGCCGCTGAGGGTGCTGGTGCCGCCAGTCCCGGCGCTACTGGACCTGCGGGTCCTTCTGGAGCTGGAGCTGCTGAGGGTGGTGGTACTGAGCCTGCTGCTGGAGGTCCTGCCGCTGGAGGTGCTGTTGGCGCTGGTGCTGCTACTGGGGGTGCTAGTGCTGTCCCTGCTGTGTCTGGAGTCCTCGCGCGGCCTCGGCCGTACTTCGTTCCGCTCCTGCAGCAGGTTCTTAGTCTCTCTCCTCCTGTAGAGTGTCCACCGCCTGTCCGGTCCCAGTCACTGTTAGAGCCCGCCTCCCCACTACCTGCTCCTTCTCCTTACACTGGTCCTACTGGAGGTCTTGCTGAGCATCATGAGCCTGCGTCTCGTCCCGCGTCGCCTGTTCGTGCTGCTCGTGCTAGTGGTCGCGGTTCGCGTCAGCGTCCTCCTCCTGTCCCTGGCACACACCGGATGTCTCTGCGTCCGTCCACTGCTCCTTTGCGTGCCCCTTTGCCTTCTCCTCCTGAGTCCTCTCTTCCTGCACTTACCGACCCAGAGTCAAACTCCCTTCGTGCTGCCAGTCCTACTGTCACGCGTCTCCTTGCTACTGTCGTCACTGACCCTTCCTTTGAGTCCACTGCTGCGTCTGCTCTTGTTGCTGAGCTCGTCGACTTTGCTGCTCGCTGTCGTCTAGACTACGCTGCTAGTCTTGTTGCTGAGTCTGCGTCTATCTGTCCTCCGTCCGTCGGGGGTGAGTATGCTCTTGGCACAGACGTCCTTGAGGACAGGCAGGAGGAGTTCCAGTGTCTGGCTGCTACTTCACCTCATCTCGCGTCTGTACTGCTTGCCCCTGAGGGAGACCCGGATGCACTAGACATCCCGACTCCGCGTTCTTACGCGGAGGCCGTAGAGGGTCCCTACTCCTCTCAGTGGCAGGCAGCTATGGATGCAGAGATGGCTTCCTGGAAGTCCACAGCACCTACGTTGACGCGGTTCCCCCTCCAGGGGCGAACATCGTCAGTGGCATGTGGATCTTCAGGGTGAACCGGCCGCCTGGCTCTCCACCTGTCTTCAAGGCGCGGTACGTCGCTCGTGGCTTCAGTTAGCGGCAGGGAGTTGACTAATTTCAGACCTTCTCTCCCACCCCGAAGATGACTACTCTTCGGGTGCTGCTGCACATAGCCGCTCAGCGCGACTACGAGCTTCACTCTCTTGACTTCAGCACTTCTTTCTTGCAGGGCAGCCTGCACGAGGAGATCTGGCTGCGCCGTCCACCTGGCTTCACTGGGACTTTCCCTCCTGGCACCCAGTGGAGCCTCCGACGGCCAGTCTACGGTCTCCGCCAGGCACCGCGTGAGTGGCACGACACACTGAGGACTACACTTGCGGCTCTTGGGTTTGCTCCCTCTACTGCTGACCCGTCGTTGTTTCTGCGCACCGACAATTCTCTGCCGCCGTTCTACATCCTCGTGTACATCGACGACTTGGTCTTTGCCACTGCTGACACTGCTGGACTCGCCTACGTGAAGTCCAAGCTGCAGAAGAGACACACATGCACAGACCTGGGTGAACTGCTCAGCTACCTTGGCTTGCAGATCACTCGGGACAGAGCACGCCGCACCATTACCTTGACTCAGTCACACATGGTGCAGCAGGTCCTTCAGCGCTTCGACTTCACATACTCCTCGCCTCAGGCCACTCCTCTGCCTACTCGCCACTCGCTCTCAGCTCTGCCTTCGGATGAGTCCGTAGAGTCGAGTGGCCCGTACCCAGAGCTTGTTGGCTGCCTCATGTATCTGATGACCTGCACACGACCTGACCTTGCATACCCTCTTAGCATTCTTGCACGCTATGTTGCTCCTGGGAGACACCGCCCGGAGCACATGGCTGCAGCGAAGAGGGTGTTGCGCTACTTGTGCAGTACGTCGGGCATGGGGCTAGTGCCTGGAGGGCGGAGTCCAGTGGTCCTCACTGGCCACGCGGACGCTTCTTGGGCTGACGACCAGGCTACGCAGCGGTCGTCGCAGGGGTACACCTTCAGTCTTGGTTTTGGCTCTGTCTCATGGCGGGCTACTCGCTCGTCCTCTGTTCTCGGCTCCAGTTGTGAGGCTGACATCTACGCCAGGGCCATGGCTGCACAGGAGCTTTGCTGGCTCACCTACCTGCTGACTGACCTTGGAGAGCCGCCTCGTTCTCCTCTAGTGCTGTACGTAGACAACAAGGCCATGCTGGCCTTGTGTCGAGAGCAGCGCCTGGAGCACAGAACGAAGCACATTGCTCTCCGCTACTTCCTTGCTCGTGAGCTGCAGCAGCGTGGTCAATTGCGACTTGCGTACGTGGCCTCTGAGGCCAACACTGCTGATGTTTTCACCAAGGCACTTCCGCCTTGTGATCATCAGCGTTTCTGCACTCAGCTGGAACTTGTCCCAATCTTGCCTCACTTACTTACCTCTTGACCTTGCTTGTACTCTTGCATATATATATACCTGCTCTTGCGTGTTTAGCTTTATATATATGTGTGTCTCCTCTTGCATGTGAACTGGCCTTGTGGCCTTGACCTTGTGCTCTAACTGTGTGGTGACTTTGTGATCCACCCTGAGCTTTGCTTTGCTTTGCTTGACTGGTCTTGTGACCCCTTGTTCTCCCCCACTTTGCCTATGGGGGTGTGTCAGAACATTATAGCTTATGCTGTTGTGTAGGCTATAGTGGGGTATCCCATAGGGTCTTGTTGCCGTGCCCTCCTCTGTCTATAGGCCAGAGGCAAGAGGTGGAGTAGGAGTAGTGCCCTGGGAGCCGTTGGAGTTGCTCATTTCCTTGTGTGTAGCCATGCTGATTGATGTTGTCGGTATAGAAGTTGAATTCCCCCTGATTGCTCTCATACCATGTTGCGCTGAAAGGCCCTTAGGATCTTTGCAGGGGTGAACTGTGGGTAGAGTTGGTGTAGTAGTGGAAGCGTTAATTAAAGGGTTGTGAACCACCTTGCGCTAGTATGTGAGGGCAAAGTAAGTTGATTAAAGCAAAGAGGTACAGGATTATATAGGAGTACAAGGAATACGAAGAGATACGGTTATAACTACTTTACTGTTGCTGTTGCGGTTCGATATAGTGACGTCTCGGGCAACTGCTCTGTAGCGAGTCAGTTGTGTGTCCTTGCTGTCGTGGTGTACTTATCAGGTCAAGGGTCGCTGACCTTTGACTTTCGCGTAACCTCCGACGGTTACTTCAACCTCCGAGGGTTGACTCGCTGGTGCTTCGATAGTGTTTTGCTTCGCTTGTGTCTTGGTGTTTCGACACGACAGAGGCGCTTAGGACCGATTGTTTCCAACATAGTGGACCGGTTGGACTCAATTTTGGTACGTACTCAACCCCACCTAAGATTGACATAAGACTGACCTGAGACTCACTTGAAATTCACTTGAGACTGACCTGCAACTGACCTGCTTGTGAATAGCAGCTTTACCCGAGGGCACAGGCTGCTGCAGAGCGTAACAGAAGTGGCGCGAGTGAGTCCAAAGACTCGTTCGAGACTCACCTAGGACTTACCTGAAACCCCCTTGAAATTCACCTGAAAACTGACCTGAAACTGACCTGAAACTGACCTGAGACTGACATGCTTGTGACGCGCAGGTTGCCCCAAAGGCACAGGGTATAGCCGTTTCGTCCTGTAAACAGTGCGCTGGCAACATAGCGGAGAGGGAGGGCATGTCAAAGGGAGGTGATAATGCCTTAGTAGTCAGTGCACCCGCTGCCTGGGGGTAAGCATCTATGCTGGGGGTGAGGGGTGGGGGGAAGGGGAGGGAGGGGGGTAGGAAGGGAAGGGGAGAGTGTGGTGGTGCAAGAGCAGTGTGGCCGGGCCATAAGGGCCAAAAGCGTAAGGGAAGTGGCGGGAGTGAGTGCAGTGGGGTAGGAAGAAGTTAGCGGCGGAGTGACATGTGTGGAGTGGGGGAGAGGGGGGGAGGTTGACGGGGGGTGGAAGACGGAGGGAGCAGGAAACGAGAAAAGGGAGAAATGGCATGGTGGGAAGGGTAGTAGGAGGGCTCGGGCAGGCGGGCGTCACGTGAGCGATCATAAGGACGACCCGGAATCGTGAAGGTTCTTCCAGGCAAGGGGCACGTGGCACGCAGGCAGGCAACAAGTGGGGGTGCAAGAGACGCAGGAGCACAGCTGAGGGGGCAATCGTTACGTCTCCAGCAGCGGTGCAACTGGCGGTGGTGCAACGGCGGGTGCAAGGCGAGGCGCGGTCATCGTCCGGCTGGAGCAGTGATGCCTGCAGTACTACGCACCGCACTCCTTACAAGCTCAGCCATTCCAATCAGCCCGCGAGGATTGAATTCGCCAGGAGTGAGCTGCGGGACGGGTCGTGGCAGAGCCTGGTGCCATAGTAGGAAATTGGGGTAAGGAGACTTGGGTGAAGGGAGGGGTGGGAAAAGGAGAAAGGGAAAACGGAAGGGGATGCGGTTCATGGAGGGGGTAAAGGAAGGAGGGGTGGATTAGTGGAAAGGTAGGGGATAAATGTAAGGGGAGAAGGTAACGGAAAGGGAATGGGGTAAGGGAAGGGGATGGGTGTAAGGCGAGGGGGAGGAGGGGAGGGAGAGAGGGCAAGTGTCAAGGCAGGTTCGCGGCGTCGCTTGCGTGTGGGCGATGTTGCACGCCCGAATAGGCCACGTGTGAAAGCAGAGAGGGCGTCACCTGACATTGGAATATCTGTTCGGAATAAGATGGAGTAGCGTTCGTAACTTGAAAAGCGTGACGGTGTTAGATTTTTGTTGATAAGCCTCTAGATGAGGCAAGCCATGAATACTCCCCATCACCAGCTGCCATCATCTGAGCTCTAACCGAGGGGATAATCAAGTCCTGAATTATAATATGCTTAATGTCCATCGTAACAACCTTCCGAAACCCCCTTGGCATCAGGATGTTGTAACCCTCATAAAAAGACTTCTCCGAAAACTTTCTTGGTCCTGCGAGCCCCAACGGGCAACTCAAATAATCCGGCCGCAACTTCAAAATTGCAGATGTATTTTCCAGCCCCAAATCATTCCCTATGTAGTCCCGAAAGCCCGCAGCAAGAGGCTGACTCAGCGAAATGTTGATCTCCCGATTCAACTTTTCCGTAACGGTGAAATTCTCGCAGTGCTTCCAGTCGAGGCCATAGTTGGTGGTGTTGACGGCGACAACGTCGATGAGATTGTCGGTTCCCAGCCCGCTGCATGCTCCCGTGACGTCAGCACCTGGCTGACCTGGCGGGTTACATGACACGCCGCCATTGGCCGATGTTTCCTTGCAGACGTCCTTCATCGAAGGCCATACCTGGATGTGACAATAACGAGGGGGGGGAAAGAGAGAGGAGATGGGAGAGATGGGAGAGAGGGAGGGGAGAGAGGAGAGGAGAGAAGGGAGACGAAGGGGGAGGTAAGGAAAAGAATACATTAGCTTTTATTGCACACATGATATGGAGGGGGGGTCAACGGGTGGAGGAGCAGTGATCACTTGGTAAGTTTGACCACATGTGACTTCACACTCTCTCACTGCTGAACATCTGCTCCTTTACTCTCACACACCCAGTTGATACGGTTGCTGTGTGTGAGGAACGAGGCTTAACGCCACCACAGGGGCACCATATGCACAGCCACTGGCACAGATATTCACAGGGATGCCTCCCAGTAGTAACAGCTCTCTTCATGTACTCGGTTGATATAGGTGCTGTGTAGTATTTCACTTGCATTGCATCCCAGTAGTCCCTTTCGGTACTTTTGAGGCGTCTCACATGTTGGATGCGAAGCTATGACATGTGCTCTTTGCTCACTTCTTGCTCTGCTCTCACTCACGTGGTTGATGCGGGCGCTGTTGTAGTATTTCACGCGCATGGCCTCCGAGTAGTTGCCGGGGTCTTTGAGGCAGTTGTTGACGGTCACTGTGAAGCACGACGTCCACCCCAGCGATCTCCGCGTGCCTTTCATCGCCACGTTCTTTATCACGCTCCTGCAGTCAAGATGGGGGAGGAAGGGGTGGACAGCAATACAGGGCAGTACGGCATCCGGAGTTGTTGTGCAAAGGGAACTGCTGAGGCAAACAAAAAGGGGGCCCTAAAGGGCGCAACTGAACATATGATTGCACACCACTGGATCTCCACAGTCCCTCCTCACCGCTTGCCGTTATTCACTTTCATGCCGTCATACGTATTCACGCACGCGCCTCCCCTGACAAGCACGCCTGACGTGCAATGGTCCAGATAGTAGCAGTGGTCGCCGTTGAACACGTAGTTGCACAGCGCCGAGTTCCCGGGACTGAACCAGTGCGTGTAGAAGTAGATCCCAGCCAAGTCGTGATCCCCGTTCAGGTTCCTCCCAGAGGAAACTACAAGGTTGGAGTTGATGCGAGAGAGCATGCACGCAAAGCTGTAATGCACGTCGGCACCGCACTTGATCCCTGCGAATATGAAGTCGTGCACGTAGTTGTTCCTGACGGTTACACCAACTGCTCCCCTGTGCAAGAGGATCGGAGTGTTCACCCCTGCAGTCAAGGGAAAGAAGGGGGGAAGAGTACAGAAAAGGAGAGTTCAACCACTAGGACAGTGGTAAATCCTTGCCGAGACTTGATCCCCGTTGTTAGAATAAACAAGGCTGGAGTTGATGCGAGTGAGCATGCAGTCACCGCTGCAATGCACATTGGCGCTGCAGCGCTGCAGTGAATCCCAACGATAACGTAGTTGTGAATGTACTTGTTGGTCATAGTGATGCCTAACGCCGCTCCCCTGTGCAAGACAGTCAGAGTGTTCACCCCTGCAGGCAACGGAAAGAGAGCGGAAGAGGGCGAAACGAGAAGAGGGGGCAAATGGGGGGATTTGACATAAGGAGAGGGGGGAGGGGATGGGTGCGGAGGGGAAATGACGAGATCAATTGGAGATGATGCGAGTAAGCATGCATTCGTTGCTGTCATGCATGCCGACTTCCCGCAAAAACAATGGTCATGGATGTAGATGCTGGTGACTGCTATGCCCTCTGCTCCCCTGTGCAGCACAACGGGGGTGTTCACCCCTGCAGGCAAGGAAAGAGGAGGGAGTGGATTAAGGGAAAGAGCAGGAAAGAGCATGGTGATGAGAAGATGTAGCCATGGATGTTGTTGTTTGTTATTGCTGTGCCCACTGCTCCTCTGTGCAAGACCATGGGGCAGGAGGGCAGGGGGAGAGTGAGGATAAGGGGGCAATGGGGAGAGAGAGGTTAAGGGGGCAGGGGGGACAGTGAGGACCATTCACTGACCTTCAATCTCATTGACTCTTGTTGACTCCCGTTGACTCTGGGAAGCATCCCACTCACTCACCGTACACCTCATTGTTGGAGATGACAATGTTGGATTTGAGAAGTCCCGGCCCGTACCCACACAGGGCCACTCGGATCACCCCAGGCGACTTGATAAAGGAAGCCACTCCGGTGACCGAGAGTGAGTCCAGGCGCATGTCCATACTGCGTAGCACGTCCACTCGCCCAAAGATGTTGCCCTGGGGAGGAGAGAGGTAGACGGGATAGGGGGTAGCTTGGAGGCATGCGGGAGCTTGAGACGACGTGTGGGATGAGAAAAAGAGAGAGAAAACACTCCAGTAAGCGTTAGTGAGTCCAGCCGCACGCGGCATGGCCATGCTCCATTGCACGCCCACTGGGCCAAAGACGGTGCTGTGAGGGGAAGAGAAGGAGAGGGAATGGGGATGAGAGTGGAGACACGTGGAAAGATGAGGAGCTGGAAGACATGTGGGTGTGGGTGTGGGATGAGACGAGTTTATGGTGCTCCATCATCTCACCACCACGTCCACCGGAAGAATCCAGACAACAGAACTTTTGTGAGTCTTGGCGCGTGCCTGTTCTTCTCACCACGTAAATTGGGCCAAAGACGGTGCCATGTGGAGGAGACGGGCTGGCATGCGAGATGGGAGAGGGTGGAGAAGGGAAGCACATGTGAGAGACATCTCGCTTCTATGCTTGCCTCAAACATGACAAAACAAACAAACACGCTTAAAAAACAAGACACGGATAAAATCATGAGTGACATGCGAAAGGAGCGCAACAAGCAGATGGAATGGAGGGACTCACCTTGTCAATCTGCACGCCATATGATCGATAGATCAAGACTGCGTCGCGGGGCACGCCACTCCTTGCCCAGCTCTGCCACTCCCTTGCCTAGCTCTGCCACTCCTTGCCCAGCTCTGCCACTCCCTTGCCCACCTTTGCCACTCCTATGCCCAGTTAGTGGTGCTCTCTGTCACCGGCACGTGATATTTCATGTTCAGTGACACTCAACTCACTGCACGCAAGCAGTCAAAGTACGCGGAGGTGCATTCGGGAATGCCCTCCGTCACTAGCACCTTATAATTCACGTTCATCAACAGAGGTGTGGATAAACGACAAGGAAGGGAGAGTGAAAAGCAGGTACAAGGGAGGGGCTCACCTTGCCAATCTTCACGCCGTAGTACCGATGGATGGAAATGGCAGGGCAGGTGACGGCCTTGCCGAGCTCGGACACGGTGGTGCAGTTGGGGCTGTTCTCCGTCACAGGTAGGCGATAGTTCACGTTCAGCGACATGACTTTACTCGTATTCCACACGCACAGCACCGGATACATAGGGTTACCACCCGTCACCGTGTAACCGGGCCATTTTGCCAACATGAGTATCGTGCAAGACTGCGGCCTCCCGAACAAAACCACTTTAGGCAGCATCAAATCCTTCTGTAAATGCAGAATAACGGTGGCGGTGGGCGGGAGAGAGGCCCTGGCTGCGAAATCAGCGGCCGACTTGACTTGGACTATGAAGACTCTCTTGAGCCACATACTGCACGGGCCTTTCGGGCGCTTCTCAGACAGCTGGTACCCTACGGCTATAGCGGCCCGTTGCAGGGAGACTGGCCCGATGATCACCGTCTGCTGCCTCCTCCTCCTCCCTTGGGCTTGCAGCCTGGCTACTCCAGTTGTAGCAGCAGCAGTTGTGTAACCAGCTGTGGCAGCAGTTGTAGCAGCATTTGTAGCAGCAGCCCATCAGAGAGGGAAGTCGAGGACAAAGGATTCGCCTGACGCAGCAGCGGCAGCCACAGCAGTGAAGAGCGGCGGGGGCTAACTGTCCCTCTCACGCTGCTGCCGCACCAACTCAGCCCGACGCAGCATGTCACGTTCGTCGTGACTGTATCCATGGTTGGGAGTGTACTGGATGTGACTGTATTGAGACGGAGTTTGGCTGAAAGAATTGCCATGTGGGCTGGTTGTGTGATAATGATGGTGGTGACCCATGCTTGATGCGTGGTGCCTCATTGATGCTGAGTGTTGCTCTGTGATTGTAACGGGGAAGGAGAAGGATGAGGGGGAGGGGGGAGTGTGGGGGAAGTGGGGCTGCAAAGAAAGGGAGAGGGAGTGTGATTGGCATGGAAACCCTTCGGTGGTAGCTGAAGTTGTTTTAAACAGAAATCGCATTGTTTTCTTTGGGTGCTTCTGATTCTATCAGCTGATCTTATGTTAACTTGTTTTGGGTTTATATCTCACCATGCCTTGAAATGGGCGAAGTTGACCACTAATAGTAGTGCCTCGAAACGTGTCAGCATGCCTTATAACGCGTACCTCGTCATGCCGTATAACGCGCACCTTGCCATCCCTTAACGCGTACGTGACAATGCTTTGCAACGCGTACCTTTGCTATGGCTTCGAATGCGTACCTGACCATGCCGCCACAGCGGTCCGCGAAGACAGGCTCGATATGACGAAGAAATTTCCGTAAATTGTGAAGGCATTATAGATTGTCATTCTCTCGGAAGCCGCAGTGCGACCGACTATTCTTCTTCCGGGCATCCGCAAGATTCCCGCAAGTCAGATAATGAACAATACGGTAGATTCCATGACGGAAATCGACGCTGCAATGGAAAATTAGTTAGACTTGAATGAAAAAGGAAGCCCGCAGCTGGAGAAACCCTAACTGGCATGAATTGGGCAATTTCGCAAAACACTACTGACGCAAGACGCTTACTACTACGACAATCAGTTGTCCCGAACGTTGCGTGGTTTACAATTTTACACGTTAGGGCGAAGTCAGGTTATACAATTCTCACGCGTTTACAGTTCTTGTTTTGTGGTTCAGGATGGTCCAGCAAGGCGAGAAGCGGTTCTCGCCTCGTACCGCTCTGCACTGTGTTGAAACAAAGTTAAACGCAGTAGGCGTACAGAAGGTTGTACAACCTGACTTCGCCCTAACTCAGAACAACGCCATAAAGGTATGCATTGGTGCAAGACACGAAACATGGCTGACAAATGCTACCAGCAGAATTTTCTCGCTTGGGGTGTTTGGTGGAAAGAAGTGGCGACGGCGGCGTTGTTCACCAGCACTTTTAACAAGAAAAATGACAGGATCAGGAAGGTCAGCCTCAGCTTCCTGATCCCGTGCGTTAGGGTTCGTTAGGGTCTGTCAAGCAGGTCAGCACGCGAAATTCTTGCCGAGCCTATGATTCCGTCCGAACCGAACGGAATCATGTTGTCCTGTCGAACGCCCTCCTTTTCATTCATTTCGAATGGAATCGTGAAGGTAGGAAAGTGGGTCGGGAGCTTCCTCTACAGGCAAACATTGGTCCCATTGCCATTCCATCGCCATTCACCCCCCCCAAGCAGAATTGCCTTGGGCGATGTTCGGCAGCACAGAGGATCCACCGAGGGATGATGGGGGGGATCGAAATTCTCAGCTCGGGTTTCTAGTTCGGGGTGGTCAACTCGGAGTCAACCAGCGTTGACTCCAAGTCGGGGGTCCAAGCGCAAGCGGAACCTTTGGGGGAAAAGGCGCGGATGAGTGACGCGAGAATTGGGGGCCCACGAAACTGCAGCTGCACGAGACGAAACTTCGCGAGCTGGACAGTTTTTCTTCTCCCTGCCTCATTTTACTGTTGCGGTGGGATTGGGTGTATCACTTCCCGAAAAAAATTAACACCATAAATTAAAATGGATGCCCTAAATGTCGTACTCACCCATTTGACCTTATTGAATACAACTGGATTAGGGATACATTTCTGATATCCATTTTACCCATCAGTTTAGAGTGTGGGGTAAAATCATAAAACAATTTCGTGGTAGAGGGAATCCATTTTACATCCCTCGTGGGTGAGGTCACTCATGGGAGTGCAATTTGGATTCTCTGGGCACTAGGGCGGAATTTTTGCGCCATGGGGGAGGTTTTGGGGGAGGATGCGGCGCGGGTTACAACCTAGCATGGTGTTCGCGTCGCGTTTTAGGCTTACGTTCGACATTTTTTTCACATTTTTCTAGCCTGACCGAAGTGTTTTGCCTAGTTCGTACTGGTCGAGCCTGGAGGCTCGCCATTTGAATCCCCCTTTCAACCCCCTCCCCTGGCTTTGGAATGGCCATGGGATTGGAAGGATGTGGAGGGGGGGAACAGGGAATTGGAAGGTGGGGAGGGTGGTTCCTGATCCCGATGCCACCCTTCCCCTTTCTGGCATGAAATTTCGCGATTTGGCCATTCCCCCCACACCTATTCGGGAGGTTCCTCCTCTGGTCCGTGATTCCACGGCTATTCCGTGGCCTTTCTTTTTTTAGATGTGCTGGCGAACAGCGCCGGCATGACAGTTTCGTTTCGCGATAAGACGAAAGTTCGCGAAAAGTGCACGAGTCTCGCGAATTATTATTTCGATGAAGCAAGGCAACATCAAGGAGGAAACTGGCGATGGTTTGTGGGGCGGTGGGAAGGTGTTGGAGGAGCAGCAAAAGTACTGTACACCTCAAACTAAAACGAACAAGCTTGTGCTCACCACTGTGTCGGGACACAGTAGAGGAATATTACGATGGTGACAAAAAGCGCCTGGTCAAAAGAAATGCTGCTCACATCACCTCGACAAAACTAGTACCAACGGCGGCGCCGTGTTCCTTCAGTGTCATCCGTACAATATTCCGCGCATCGTTTCCCCTCGGTTTTTCCCGGGCCGCCGTCTCTTTGCCTACGTTCCTAGCGATCGAATTACCGCGCCGCTGCAAAGTCACTTCGAGGGCCGCAGAAGTGTGATAGTCTAAGAAATCCTAAAAGAGGTAAGCTCCACTTTTAGTTTCCCCCAGTCAGCCCTCTGCATTGCGGGGGGGGGGGGGGGGGGGGGGGGGGGGGGGGGGAGGGGGATGTGCAACTTTAGGTTACATACCGAGTCGCTACGAGGTCTGGACAACCTATGAACTAGCAGAGCCCCTTGATGCAGTCTTGTCCCACTCAGCGTTGTTGTTCCAGGCCCTTCCCGTGCTGCTTTTCCTTGCCATCGTTGATACACCCACGCTCTCACTTATCCGGGCTCTAGCCGACCTGCCCTGTGACCCACCGCAGCGTGTGACCAACCTAGGCGGTGACTGACCCAGCCCGTGAATGGTCTTACTGTTACTGACCGAGCTTGCCTCACCTAGCCTGTGACTGACCTGGACATGTGCACAGGGCGACTCAAGTCTACTCTGAGTCGACTCAGCTCTGACCGACCCGAGTTAACTCGCGAGTCGAGGTAGGAACGACAAGGCCGAGATAAGGGCTGGGACAAATATGAATGACAAGGCCGACAAGGAACGACTATTAACCAGATCAGGCCGAGATTGGACCACGAAAATGAGAGATTCAGTTGTTGAACGACACGTTGCTTGACACAGGTAAATGTCGGAGACAAGCTAGTCGAGTAGAGACTAGTCAGGTGTGCTGTTTCGAATCACCAACTAGGCGAGTGCCAACTTGACAAATGTCCAGCCGGGTCGGGCGATGCATTGTATGTCAAGCCAACTAGACTCAGCGTGACAAGAAATAAAGTGACCACCTGAGTCGATCGAGTTGAGTCAAAACTCTACTCGCTGCTTGTATGTAACCTCGCGTGCAGTTGACCTGGCCTGTGGCTGACCGGCTGTTGTGAGTGACCCGGCCTATGACTAACCCTGCTTGTGTCTGTCCTAGCTATAAGTGACCCACCTGTGGCTATTGTAGCCTAGGACCAATCTTACTTGTGTCTAGCCAACATTGTGCTTGACCTAGCCTGTGAGTGACCAAGCCTGTGAATGACCTAGCCTGTGAGTGACCTAGCCTCTGAGTATCTCAGCCTCTGAGTGTCTTAGCCCCTGAGTGTCTTAGCCCCCAACTAACCTAGCCCCCGACTAAAACCCCCACCCCAACTGACCTAGCCCCCAACTGACCTAGCCCCAACTGACCTAACCTCCAACTGACCTAGCCTGTGAGTCTGTGAGTCTAGATTAGGGTAAAGAGAGCGGTTTTGAAATTCCTTCTGCGCAGAAGTCTTGTGTGGATACGACATGCCGCAGCGGCTATGCAAATGAGCATCGGGCTATGTGCTCCTTTGCCTCATAGAACGATGATCGCATATTCTCATTCACGTGCCATAGGAGCTACAGTGCCTCACCTTTCCCTCTTGCTTTCAACATCTCTCTCCATTTGCGTCTGCCTCTACTGACCTCTCTTCGCTCCACCTTTAACTAGTCCAGTGTTTCTCACTCCCTATCCATGTTTCAGACGGAATCTTCTTTGTGCTGAACTCAAGCATTGCTGAAAACTACCTGAACTGGTTGGGAGTGGATTGGGAAATGGCTGTAGAAAGGGAGGAGAATGAGCTTAGCGAGGCAGTTAGAGGGCTGTTTGCAATAGTGAGAGGGGAACTGGCAACAATGAGGGAGGAGCTGGCAGTAGTGAAGGGGGAGGTGGCGGCAGTAGTGGCGGAGAAGGCGGCACAGGAGAGTGAACGAGGGTTGTTGTTCAGAGCAAGTGCGGTGTGGAGAATGCGGCGAATGAGTTGAGGCACTGGCCTTTGGCATTCATTCACGTGGTTCTACGCCACCATTCTTATTCTCGTTTTGTCTCCATCCCTCTCCTCGTTAGCTCCTGTGCACATTCTGCACGACTGTCATCCCCCCTTCCCCACATCCCCCCCCTGCTGCCGCTTGTCCCCTACCCCACCTGCCTTACAGTCTGACTATCAGCTTGTTCTTTCGTGTGTGTGATTCCGCATGTTAGTCTCATCTCTACTCGTCTGTGCCCCATGCCTATGTTGTCCGCTTGTCTCGTCCTGTGCACTCAGTACAGAACCTATCTTTCCTGCCACAACCCCCCTCCCTCCTCTAATCCTGCTCCCTGAATTCATCCTCTCCTCCTGCTACACCTCACTGTGCAGGCGCACGCCCTGCATTGGGCTCGCCCCATCAGTCATGGCTTGGATGACTGCAGTGGCCATGCTGCTGCAAAGGCTGCTGCTCGCCCTCCTTCTCGCCATTGCCATCAGCATTACACCAATTGGCAGTCAGGGACGCTTCCTGTCATATGCCCGCGTATTTCCTAAACCTCACATGTCCGCATTGTTGCAGTGTTTTGATAGGGTATGCATTCTCATCATTGGATGTTATCATCAGCAGCTGCCCTCACAGCTCTCCTGCTGCCCTCACAGCTCTCCTGCTGCCCTCACAGCTCTCCTGCTGCCCTCACAGCTTTCCTGCTGCCCTCACAGCTCTCTTGCTGCCCTCACAGCTCTCGTGCTGCCCTCAGAGCTCTCCTGCTGCCCTCACAGCTCTCCTGCTGCCCTCACAGCTCTCCTGCTGCCCTCACAGCTCTCTTGCTGCCCTCACAGCTCTCCTGCTGCCCTCACAGCTCTCCTGCTGCCCTCACAGCTCTCCTTCTGCGTAAAGGTGAAACCTCAAAGCTCAGTTCCACTACTCTTGACTTCCTCATCCTCTTAATGCTCCACTCACATCTTCTCTCCCCAAAAAACTCCCATCCATGATTTGCCGTGTGCCTGTGTTTCCATGTGCTGCCATGTGTAGGAAGCACGCCAATTTCCAAATGGAGAGAGTAAGTGGAGCTGTTGGGTCTGTCATGGCAATTATGGCCGGAACACACGAGCTGAAAGAGGCGATGAAGATGAGAATGAGGGCGCTTGGCATGTAGCTGGAAGAGACAAGGAAGGAGTTGGAGGAGGCTGAGAGGAAACGAGTGTCGCAGATGGGTGAGGTGAGAGGGCAGATGGAGGAGAGGTGGGAGGATTTGGCAGCAGTAAAGGGAGAGTTGGGTGCAGTGCAGGGGGAGCTGGCAGCTATGAAGAGGGATCTGGCTGAACACAAGGATGCTATGGCAGAGCAAGTGAAGGCTAGAAAGGAGTTGAGTGAGATCAGGGATGAATTGGCAGCATTGAGAAGAGACTTGAGGAGGCAAAAGGACTTTGTGAAAAGACAATTGGAAGAGGCTGAGAAAAGACACACAGAGAACTTCATAGAGCTGAGAGGACAGGTGGAGGAGAGGAAGAGGGAGTTGGAGAAGGCTGAGAGGAGACGAGTGGCGGAGATGGACGTAGAATTGGCAGCAGTGAAGTGGGCGTTGGCTGGGCACAAGGATTCTATGATAGAGCAACTCCGTATGGCTGAGAGAAGAAGGGAATCTGGTTTGAAAGATCTAATTGAGGAGGTTAGAAAGAAAGAGGATGACATGAGAGCGGAGTTGGCAAGGGAGAGGGAGGAGAGGAGGAGGGAGATGCAGGAGTTGAATTGGCCACGTGCCATGGAGGAATTGGCAGCCTGCAGGAGTTGAGTGAATGTTGAGATGGAAATTATCCGGAATGAAGTTTATTGGAAGACTGCATGGGAGGTGAGTGCTGAATGAACTGTTTTTCAGAGCAAGCATGATTTGCTGTTGTCTCGATGATCACTCCTTGCCATTCATTCTCTTTTGTATCCATCACCTCCAGCGAATCAAATCAGCATCACTAGGAACCGATCTGAGTTTGGCGAGTCTCGGCGGCCTCTCAGACGCCATGCTCACCCATGTGTCCACAATGACCCACCTGAAGAGCATCGACTTACGATCTACCTCAGGCTTCGGTGCAGAGGGCATGAAGCACCTGTACAGGCTGCCACAGCTGGAGACGCTAGACCTGCAACTTACAGATGTCTCAGACAGCGCCTTGGAAGGGATTGGGTCCTTGACCAATCTCGCGGAGCTCCATCTCTGGAAGACCAAGGTGACAAATGCCGGCATGGTGCATGTGGGGAGGCTGACAGGACTAGAGAAATTCTTCTGGGTGGGATGGCAGTCACGGATGATGGGCTGCAGCAGCTGACTACGCTGACCAAACTGGCGTTTCTCTTTCCGGCAGAAGGGGGTTACCTTATGTACGATGATGTTCGCAGGCGGATAGGTGGGTAGGGTGGCAGGGAGTGATGATGGAAAGAGAGGTGAGGTTGAGGGAAGAGTTGACTGTGACTGCAGGGAAGCTAGGGACAAGGACAAGCAAGAGAGCAGTGAGGGAAGCAAGCATAATGGACGAGCAGTAATGGAGGCGATCAGCAGTGGCTACAGCAGTGGCCACAGCAGTGGCTGCAGAAGCAGTGGCAGCAGCAGTGGATGTTATAGTCACAGTAGGCTCCAATGTGCCTAAAACGAAAGATAGAGTGCACAGTCGGATTTCTGCACAGCGGCTTCAAACGTTCATATCGTTCTGGTCACAGCTTCAAATGACTTGATTCAACTTGGATCTGGAGCGTCTTATTGTCGCCTACAATTGGCAATTTAGATCGCACGATTTGACCAAGTATTGACGACACAGCGCTGTTTGAACGAACGGCACTATGGCAGCCTCTATAGTCTTAGAACACAAGATAGGAAGAAGTTAGGAAGAGTTACGAGTTGGGAATGACTCCCAGCTCCTACAAACCCCAAGAGCCGAGGTACAGTGATGTGGAACAGTGCCACACTATCCCCAACCACGAAGGGTCTCGAAACTACCCTTCACTAGGGCCTACACCAAGTGAAATGTTACACTACACAAAGTAATGTAACTATATTCAATATCTTGAGGTGCACCCTTTTGGCGAGCTTCGAAATCACTCGAGGCCTGACACAAAGGCTCGGGCTCTTCATCACAAACTCATCCTTGTGTTCTTGACGGGTATTCTGCACACACCTGCGACATGCCGAACGTTCGACACAGGACAAAATAGAAACCGCGCGCGAGACACAAACGACCGCGTAACACGCGTCTAGCGATATCTCGCTATTGACTCGACACACACACTCGACATCATGACTCAACATTCACACACAATTATAAGCATGAAACATATATTATCCCATGCCCTCATACCATTCCATACACATACACATGCACGCACACAGACAACAAGCCGAGTGCAAACCGTAGGGTTGCACCAACAAACTCCCCCTCGGATTGTTGGCCTTAGGATATGTTGCTCTCTCAGTTCAGAGCCATCCCAGCCAGCTTGCAGCACTTCCAATGCTGCTGCTCCACCAGCCTCTTAGTCATCATGTCAGCCGGCTGCCCCGTGGTCTTCACGTACCGCAACTCAACTTCACCCGCGGTCACCATGCTCCTCGTCCAATGCCACTTCACCCTCATGTGCTTTGTGAGTCCATGCAACACAGGGTTCTTAGCAAGAGCAATGGCACCATGGCTGTCACAGTAGAGTGGGGTAGGTCCTTGCTGCTCCTCCCCCAATTCAGCCAACAAACGCCGCTGCCAAACAATCTCCCGTACGGCACGGAAGAGTGCCATGTACTCGGACTCAACCGAGCTCAAAGCTTGGTCAACCTGCTTCTTGCTCTCCCAAGCAGTTGGGCCTCCACCAACACAGCATATAAAGCCTCCCACACTTGTCATGTCCTCTGGTTCTGATGCATATGAAGCATCCGAGTAGGCGGTGAGGAACAAACGCCCGGGTTCAACACCATCCGCGCCCTTTTGGCGCCTTTGTGCCGTTGCCGAGTATTGCAGCCCAACGGTCGGTGTTTGGCCAAGATACTTGGCCACCCTCATTCCAATTGCTACCTGCTCCTCATTAGGGCATTGCACAACCCTAGCCAGCTGCCCGGTAGCAAACGCGACGTCCGGTCGGGTGTTTACCGCCGCATACATGAGGCTGCCCACCAACGAGTGAAAACGGCGCCTCTCTTCTTCTCCAACGCTCTCCTCCTCTGGCCCCTTCACACACTTGAACCCAGAGGGAAAGGGAGTAGCCACATGACCTTCACTCTGGCCAAAGTTGGCGGCCAATGCCTCCAGGTACTTCCGTTGGTGCACTCGCATGCTCCGCTTCTCCACGTCTCGTTCGATATGGAGCCCAAGGTAGAAGTTCACGTCACCAAGGGACTTGCACTTGAACTTGTCATGCAGCTTCAGCATCACCTCCTTCACAAGGTCAGAGGAGGGTGAGAATATGAGAATGTCATCCACATAAACCACCATGAAGCTCCTCTGCTCCCCCTCGCCAAGCATGAACAAGGAGTGATCGGCCGTTGAGGGAGTGAAGCCGATCTCCTCCAACACTTCGCGCGGCTTCATGTACCATTGCCTAGGGGCCTGCTTCAGCCCATAAAGGGCCTTCTTCAGCTTCCACACTCTGTCACTACCATCATCAAACCCCTCTGGCTGTGCCATAAAAATCTCCTCCTCAAGGATGTCGTTAAGGAATGCCGTTACGATGTCCATTTGTTTTACTACCCATCCTTTGATGGCGGCTCCCGCGAATAGGGTTCGCAGCGTCGTCGGCTTCACCACAGGGGCAAACAGCTCCTTAAAGGCCACCTTCTCCTTCTGCTGGTACCCCTTGGCTACAAGCCTAGACTTGTAGCGCTCGATCTTGCCGTCGGCATCCGACTTGATTTTGAAGAGCCACTTGGACGTTATCGCCGTACGCCCCTCCGGTAGCTCCACCAATTCAAATGTGTCATTCTCCTCGATGCTCTTCAGCTCACTCTCCATGGCCTTCTTCCACTCTTCAACATCAGTACTCTCCAAAGCCTCCTTGAGAGTTGCTGGTTCTCCCGGCATCTCCACCGGAGAGAAGAACGCGAAGGCACACTCCTCGTAGTCACTCTCCTCGTCGTCTCCGACCATCATTGCCGCTCCGGCCAGGGCTGTCTTGCCCTGCTTTCCCAGTGCATCATAATTCAGCCTATTAGGGGGTTGAACTCTCCTCTTCCCCCTTCCTTCCTCCTCAGTTGCAGGGACTTGAAGGCCTTGGTGTTGCTGCGATGTGGCTCGAATCCGTGGAGCACTCATAGTACGGGAAGGGAGTGACGGTGCACGCTCGCTCACTTGCTGCACCTCCTCCTCTTCTTCCTCTGCATCATTGGCCTCCTCTCCCCCATTCACAAGGGAGGATTGCCTCGTGGTTGTGCTGCCGCTGCTCAGCTCCAAAGGCAGCTCCACATGCTCCAAGACGGAACTCTTCACTTCCCCAAACCGCACTCCTATCTTCGCCTCATTCTCCGCCTTCCAATCCTTGTACATGAAGTTCTCCATGAACTTGCAGTCCCTGCTCACCAAGAACTTCTTGGTGAATGGGTCCCAAAGAAGCCATCCCTTGCTGTTTTGAGCCATGCCCAAGTGCACGGCCCACACCGCCTTGGCACCAAACTTGTTGTGCCGAAGATGCTTAGGCACGAGCGCCATGCACATGCACCCGAACACCCGAAGCATATCCACCTTCGGCTTCCTTCCTAGCCACTCCACATAGGGCACCCATTTGTCTGCTCCCACATGAGTCAAGGATCTGTTCTTGGCCACACACGCGCTCCGCACCGCATCAGGCCAGAAATAGTCGGGTAGCCCGGCTTCAATGAGCAACCCGCGTGCCGCCTCCGTGATTGTGCGGTTCGCTCGCTCGGCGATGCCG